TTTATGCTTTCAAAACATGCATAAATACCAACATATTTTTCTCCACCACTGGCCATGTGTGAGAGTCAATTTCCAATGTTTAAGTGATATACTGTACTTAGACCATAGCATTGATGTAACACTATTGTCAAAGTGATCTCTGCTACGTTAGCTGTAATGTACTTTCACATGTAATCTTCAAGTTGTGTTCACTTATTAGTTTTGGATGATAAATGTGTCAGCAAGTGTCATTTTATTTGACAGTACATATAGGTACTAGCAAACCAGGTTTATTATGGATATGGAGCTGCACCTCCTTGCCCAAAAAATATATCCCAACATAGCTGCTAATACTACATCAAGTGAAAATATATCATACAGTGTAACAAAGCAAGCATAGTGTCTGAAAGAGAACTCACCTTGGAATGGAAGGAGCTGTACCAGGACCGGGCCTAGAAGGAATAAGAAGTACACTGCTCGGCCTTGGAACTCCTACATGTCCAGTGTTATTTATTTCATAGGATGTTGGCCGGGGTGCTGAACCTCTGTGGCGAGACGGGATGGGAGACGGTGGCCTAGAAATGTATGAGAGAAACGTTTTACCAACATAGAAAGAAATTGACACTGATGAGCCAATTCATAGAAGGACAAAATTAAGGAACCTTACGATGATCCTCGCGCTTCTGGTCTGAGCCACTCATTATTAACCGGCGGTGGTACCGGAGTGGACGATGTTGTAGCATTGATGTCACCAATGATCTTAAGTGCATCTTTAGTAGCGTGGTACATGTTTAGTAATTCATCTCGTCTTTGGACCTCCTCTGCCGATTCTTCCATTAGTGTCGACTAGTGATAAATAAACAGTAGATCTCGTATTATAGTAATCATGGACAGCAGGGATACTTCATCCATAGCAACACTTTGTATTGCTTTGTGTCATAGCATGACCTGTACAACCTGGTTATTACTTCACATTAAAGTTGTTTGCAACATTTTGGTGAGAATCCTTTGAATATTGGCCAAAAAACAAATCTAAAAGTTGTGAATTTCATGAGATACTCTACAAATTTGCACTATAAAAGTATTTTGTAGTTCATTGATTGTCTTTATCTCAATAAATCCCATCATGCATTGCTGATTTAAATTATAGGTACATGTATGCTAAACACAACTATTAATATCAGGTCGGGTCGGGTCGGGTCATCGTGACTTAAAGGACTAGTCGATACAATGTAGCTTAGTATTCTTTGGAGAAAACATCAACACAACTGGTTAAAACAGTCAAAAACTGTCTGTAATTTGAGGTAATTGTTGAGACTCTCCTGAACAGTGTAACAAGATTACCCCCCACACGTGTAACAAATATAAATTTGGTTACTCAGGTTTGTCTAAAAATTGAGCTTGTGTCGTTTTCTTCACTTCAGCTGTAGGCTCTTCCACAGCAGCTCACACATAGCCAATATAAATACATGGTACAGTAGTGCGTGTCTTAGCAACGTGGAACGTTATGTGACATCACTTTGCCCCCACAAATAGGACCAATACAGGCATCTAGGAATCAGTAACTTAATTCATTATACTTTTACTCCATAAGACATTTCAAAGTAACACTCTTACCTGGTCACCACTGGAATACAGATGTGCCAGCAACTCTGCTGTGATGAAGTCTTTACCCTGTAATAACATTACCATGGCAACCATCAGTTTATTAGTGCTCACCTAGGAAATCTGGTAATTGTACTGGATTTGATAAGTTTGGTTACCATGGAAATAAGTGTTTGATGCAGTGATTCACTCCTCACTGACACATGCACTGTATAAATTAACACTTCATCTGAAAAATTCTCTCTA